TGATTTTATTCCTTGCATTAATTGCTTGATTTGATTATGGTTCACTTCATTCAATGCTTGTGCACGCTTGAGAGTGTGTGTCTTTTTGCATGCCCTAAAATTTTCTATAAATTCTCACAACACTTCACAAATCACACTTTACACTTATCATCTCTCATATGCATTTCTGACTTCTCTATTGTTTCCATCTTATTTCAAAACCAAAAAACCGTCGTAAACCCAGACGCTTCTCAAGAACTTCAATGGCTTCACCTTCATCAACACATGCTCAGATGAAAACTTCAACTGTTGCTGCATCATCTCCTAATGCTGCTGGTTCATCCCAAACTGCTGTTGTGTACAAAACACCTGTAAGAACTCTTCTCACTCCAATCAAAGAACTTGAAGTTCTGTGTGAGAACTTTGTGGATTTTGAATCCATCAAAGAAAATGGTTTTGATCTCCTTTCAACCATCAAAGCTCAGAACTGGGAAAAGTATTTTGAAAGGATGATGGGTCCTATTTATCTAGCTCTGGTAAAATAATTCTGGATACACGCTTAAGTTTGCCCTAAGTTTATTCATTCATCTGTTCTTGGGAAGGAAATTGTCATCACGGAAAAATTAATCAGACAACTACTTAAGTATAAGGAAACTGAGGGAATCACAAGTATGGCTACTGATCGTGTGAATTTGGATGACATCTTTCAAGAAGTTTGTGTTTCTGGAGAACCATCCAATAAAGTCAGAGATCTGAAACCTATTTACAGAATCTGGGCTAAGATTTTCATGAGTTCAATCTTTCATAGGAAATCTTCTAACTCACCAGATTATGTAAATTTAGAACAAATGTACTTCATGTTCTGTATGAGGAAAGGAAAGAAGGTGGATTTACCTTATCTTCTGTTCAGTCATCTTCTGAACCATATCAAAGAAACTAGAGAAGAAGTTAGGGTTAAAGCTAGAAAAATCAGAACTTGGATCCCTATGGGAAGACTAATATCAGACATTCTAACAGAGAATGGTCTTGTGAAACATCTGTTTGATGCTGGGGTCACAGAGGATCTGTCCTATGTTATAGGATCTGTCATAAATGGGAACACTCTGAAGAGAATGAAGGTTATTTCAGAGCTTGCTGGAAAACCCAAGAAATTTCAATCTGAAGACGTCAGCAGAAGGAGAATTCCTTTAGCAGATTTTCCTATGTTCAGTGCTGATGAACCTAGGCACATCGTTCTGACATACATTGTTGAATGTTTAAGAGATGGTATTCCTCTGCCTGCTAACATAATACAGAAGGAAGGAGAAGTATTGCCAAATCTTCTGAGAGAAAGGCGCAGGAAGAGAAAGGCGCGGAAAGGATCTTTTGCACAGCCCAAGAGGAAAGCCTCTGATGCTGGTGACAAGCCTGAAAAGGACAAGAAGCAAAAAGAAAATCCTCCAGAAGCTACTGTGGAAGAAATCAGAGAAACAATTCACCAGGTATTAACATCTGATCCCAAACCATATGTACCTTCATCCTCACCTTCACCTCCACCATCTCCCTTTAAACCATCTGAACCTAAATCACCTGTACCTCATTCATCTGAACCCATTTCATCTCCTAACAAACATTCTCAACCATCTTTTGTTCAACTACCATCTGAACTCCCTCAACAGAAATCATCTGAACATCAACCCCCTCAACAAAAACAATTTGAACCACAACAACAACCATCATCTAAATCACAAAACCAACAATCCTCTGAACAACAAACACCACCAAAACGACAAAAACAATCTGAACCACTCTCTTCTACTCAACCACCAGAAGAACCAACCATCAAAAATCCTGAACCATCTGTCCAACATCCACCTGAAGACATTCTGGATGTATCACCACTTGCAACCTTGTATGTCCTCTCTTCAACTTCATGTCACTCAACTGAATCATCTGATTCTGATGAATCTGAAGTCCCCTCACCAACTAGCTTACAAATTCCTGATCCCTATAAACCACTACCATCTGACCTACCTACATCTAACAACCCTCTTCGCTTCAAATTCAAATTCACAGACTTTATACCATCCTTATCTGATGTTGTTACATCAACACCATCTGATGCTGACACCTCAATTCCTCAACTCACCATACCACAAACATCCATACCACAACCATCTGAACATCCATCATCTGATCACCCACCTCCTGAACAAACTCAAACACCTCCTGAACCATCACAACCTGTCACCATAGAAGACTTTCTCAACCCAAAACCCAGATCAGATGTTTCTACTCTGTTCAAGAATTTCAGGAAGGAACTACGTATGGGAATTACTTCTGTGGAGAAAGAGTGCATGGCTAGTTTGGATCCTGCTAAATCTGAAGCTTCTTGGAACAGATTCATATCAAAATTCAACTCTGCTGCATCTGACCTCAGAACACTCTGTGCTGATGATGCAAAGGCTAAGTTTGCTGAAATGGTCAGACAAACTCTGCTGAACATTATCACAACTCCAGTGCTTCTTCTAGAAGATGCTCCTGCTGAAAATTCTGCAATGATAGAAGATACTCCTGCATCTGACATGGAGATTGATCATCCAATGGGAACTGCATCCGCTTCTGAACCTTCTGCATCTGAGATGAAGACTGAGATTCCAGATGTTGTCCAAGAAGTCAAGGAAATCAGAACATGAATGATAAAACAGAAACAGACTACTGAAGAAATCAAGACTTGGATGGCCAAGCAAGAAGAGTCCACTGCTAAGATTACGGATCTTCTGACCCTGATTGCTTCTCGCCAGCCCTAGTTTTCTTTTTCATGTCTTTGCATTCTAGTTTTGCACTTGTTTTCTGTTTGTTCTATTTTCTATCATCTACTCTATGAACTTCTTATGTTGTTGTGCTATTCTGCTCTGATTAAATCTGGCTGTTTTGTCTTTCATTTGTGTGTTATATTTTTCTCTTCTTCTATTATCTTTTCTGTCTTTAAAGTTCTTTTTGATTATGACAAAAAGGGGGAGAAAGAGAATTTGATTGTTCAACATAAGCAAATACTAAAAATGAAATTCAGACATTGTTTTAATCTAACATTGAATCTTAAGACTTTCAGATCTCATTATCTCATCTAACAAAATGATCTGAAGTTACCCTGAGAATTATCCAACCAGGCTCTAATCCTTGAAAGCAAATTATCAGACTCTAATTCTGGAGAGCTTAATTCTGGAAAGCATCCAAGCTCTGATTCTTTCTCTCGACAAGGATTTCTACCAGGTTCTGAAATATACTCAAGCAAAATGGGAAGTGTTCTTTTCTAATTAGAGTATTCATTTCAGGGGGAGATTCTTAATCTCAGGGGGAGTATTTATTTTCTCTCTTTTTTTTATTGAACAAAATTCTCTATGTTTTGTCATCATCAAAAAGGGGGAGATTGTTAGAACACAGATTGGTGTTTCTTATATCTATATGTTTTGATGATAACTTTTATGGAATTTTGTAATGAGTAAATATACACTCTAAAATTTGTTCAAGTATTATTGTTTCAGGTATAAAATTAAATACTCTTAAAGAAGCAAAATACATAAGTACAAAGAAACTATACAAAGCTCTGAAGCATCAGATGCAAGACTATCAGAAGATTCTGAAGCGCTGCCAGAAGGATCTGAAGCAGAAGCTACAGAATGATCTGAAACGTTAATCAAAGGAGTATACAAAAGCTGAAAGCTCTGATCTTATCAGACTCTGAAGTTCTTTTCACTACAAACTCAGAGGCTTTAATAACCAGACTCTTATCATTAATATTCACGCTCAAAGCACATACTTCTGCATTCTCTGATGAAGATCTGATCAAGACTGAGACTTTGATACATTAAAGATCTGATCATCTATCAAGACTTTGAACTTATCATTCATCTTAAAGCTCTGATCATCTTAAAGCATTCCATACCTTTTAAAGCTTACCACAAGTTTTGAAGTGCAGATCATGAAGACTTCATATTGAAGAAAGCTTGTTGAAGAAGCTGTAAACTTGATTAGACATGGTGCTACTTCCAAAGTAACCAACGGCTAATTTGTCCAAAGAAGTGACGTGGTGCAAATCCCAAGGCTTCTACAACCATACCTTTCTGCAGAAAGCATATCTCTGCCCATACCTTTGGTGATGAAAAGTTATACAATCAAATATTATATTAAGCTACACATCACTCAAAGCATTTGAAAAAGCTATAAAAGGAGAACTACTTCAACATTTTGAGGTTGCTAATTCACTACTCATCTTTTGCTCATTGCTATATCACTCAGAAAGAAATACACATTTGATTCATCCAAAGAGAAAATCTCTCAAGATCTTACTCATTTGATCTTTCATAAAACCATATAGTTTTTGTTGTACTTAATCTTAAGTGTAAACATCACAGTTGTGATACAGCTTATTAGAAGCATTCAAATACTTGTTAGTTTACATTAAATTGTAAGAAGTTCCTTAAGAAGACCAAGGTGTGGTCATTAGTTCTTGAGAAGACTAAGACAGTTGTTCTTAGTGCTTTCTATTGTAATCAGTTGATCAATAGTAGATTAAGTCCTTGCAGAGAAAGGCAAATCATCTTTGATAAGGTGGACTGGAGTAGTTGAGTTCAACGAACCAGGATAAAAATCTTGAGTTGTTTTTATTGCCATATTCTTTAAAAACTCTTATTCAACCTCCCTTCCTAAGTGTTTTTCTCACCTTCAGCTTCTTCTAACTATTTGTCCCAAATCTACTGCAACAATGAGGCTTGACACACTTTTTCATTTGTCACTTCACTGATGCTATCTTCCTCTGTTTCTCCATACCCACTCTCTCACTTCAGTTTCTTTCTCTTTACAAGCTCATATTTCATTTCCTCCTAATATTCAGAAACCACCACCGTGCACAACCACTATTAGGGTGGTGAGACCGTTCGAGATGATAAACGACATCAACGACAAAAAAACAATTGTAGAAGCTAACTGTGAAAGTTCATCACAAATGGAAGGTCACATCGGCTACCAAGGAACATTTTGAAATGGCCGTCGTCGACAAAAAGGTGATTTGTTAAGCTTCTGAATCTTTGTTATATTTTGTAAGTTTCATATGTGCAACACTTGTTTGTGCTGTTTAATCATACACACGGACAAACTTATGCTTGGTCTGCTTCGTTTTACATGTTGTGAGCTGTATTTTTCTGAACGATGGTTAGTGAACCATGTTTCCTAAATCATGTATTGTCAACTATGTTAGGACTACCATGATTTAGAATACATGCAGTTGTTTGCTGTGTTTCAACTTCTATGTTTAGGACTGGAGGCAAAATAACACCCTGTATGTTGTTTGATTATTTGCAGGGCCATGATATTTATATCATTATTCTCACTACGTTTAGACAATCGTTTGACTCTGCATTATTGGTTGATGTGACGTGCACCATGTCTAACTTTCAAGTTTTGCCTAATGACTTGCTATTTCGACCTTCAAACCAAAAATATATTCTGAATTTCAATGGTGGGATGACTATCAAAGATGTTGGAAAACACGACATCCCTGATAAGATTTGTAACTTGACCCCGTTTCCTGATATCATTTCGAGAAAATGGCAGAGGAATCTCCTAACTGGTAAGTTGACCAACCATATTTACTGTTTTTTTCCTTATTCTCTGATTTTTTACAATTGCTACTTCATATTTCTTATAGATATCATCAGGGTGATGGACGAAGATGGCTACTCGCAGTCTTAGATCGATGAAAAAAAAACACAAGTGAATTTGGTTTTGAGGGATTTGGGGTGAGTTACATTACTTAACCTATATTCTAATACAATATAACTTGTAACTATCAACGTCTCTCACTTTTAGGGAAGACACCTTGCACTGTACATTATGGGAAAGCTATGCGACAGAGTTTCTGGAGTTCGGACACAAATAATCTAATCCTTCTTGCCCTACAATTATACTTCTAAAGTTTGCTAAAGTTAAAGAAGAAGATGATTAACTACTGTGTATCATTGTGATTATGGTATACTTTTGTATTTTACAAAACTGTGTTTCTAGTTTGCTCAACTCTAATTCCATTCTCTGTTTGTAGGTAAATGACCCCTTGTTGTTACTAATACATACAATGTTACCAAGCTGCATATCAACAAGGACATCCCAGAAATAACAGATTTCCATAACTAGAAATTGAAATATTATATGAATGCATATGTATTGGTGACCTAAGCTGTTTTCTTCATGAGCCATAACTCCATTTTAATGTTTTTATTTGACCCACAATTTGCCAAAGGATTTTCATTTGGGGAAATCCCTAAGCAGCCGTAGCAAAAGCGACATGGATATTCACAACATTCTTCTAGGTCTAACCTATCCCCTACTGATAAATTATTTTCAAATGCTACCCACCTACCACTTGGAGAAATAATCGTCTTATCTGAGGTTTTACGACATTTTCCCGTATGTTTTATTTTTTTCAAGTGTGCCACTGTTTATTGTACCAACTTCTCATTATTTAGACATGCTCTCCAGCCCACTACATGTGTAACAATTGCTACTACTAACCAATTAATTCCTGATCCAAATGGGTGGTACTACAGAGCTTGCCATCAATGTCCTCAAGTCGCAAAAGGCGACGCTCCATCCTTCTTTTGTAGGGATGGACACCGAACTGAGGCAGAGATATGGAGGTTAATGTTTGTTAAGTAACGTTGCACAAATTGGTAAATTGTTGTTAACTACTCAACATCTCTGTTCTGTCTTTGCTGTAGGTTTAAGATTATTATTGAAGTTGTCCATGACAAAAATGCTGGGAACTTTGTGTTTTGGGACAAGGAGGCGACATAAATTTTGAATACATCGACTGTACAGCTATGGTCAACCACGATAGAGGTAACAAGCACTCACAATAACAGCGAACACTATGTTTGCAACCATAAGCCACTTTAGGAGTCTGAAATTCTACCTTTTTGGATTCTAGGATGGAATAACTGACCCACTGGAATTCCCCCTTGCGCTTGATGGCATGTTAGGTAAGAAGTTTGCTTTCAAAGTCAAGTGGCAGCCTCAATGGAGAAATGGAGGGGTTGTCATGTGTCTAATTGACAACCACCTTATTACACAACTTGAAGGTCAACCAAATGTTGATGAGACAGAAGAGGTTATCATCCACTTAATATTTTGTGAACATAAAGATTGACTCATATATTTACTGTTCTAGACTGGGCCGAGCCCTGCCCCTCAGCCGGGTAGGTCCAATCCAATACTATACTGATAAGGCCCAATCCCCTCTCTGTCGGGCACGAGCCTCAACAAGGCATGTTAGGGCAGAAGACTCTCTTGACGAGAAAACTCACACGCTTTCCTCACGGACTCCACGTGCCCCCCACGCGGGGACACATCATCAAGCAACTATCTACTTCCGAAAGAGTTGGGCAACCCACTCCCGAAGATCACATGACAGTTGATCCAGGACGAAGACCACATGCTGGTCTTCACTACGCCATATAAGCTCTGACAGTTACTTATGTTAGTCTTAGCAATCCGACCAAATGCAATGTAACTGTTGGCCCTACGCTGGGGGCATATTATAAATACCCTCTTTCACTAGAGGGTCAGGTATCTTATTCACTACACCTTTTCTTTGTACTTGCTCTCTCTAGCTCCGTTACTCACTTAAGCAGGTACACCACCCCCTCCTTTATAACACCAGTGAAGGCAGCAACTCACGATGCGTGGCAGGTTACTGATTCCTTTCTGATCAGGTGAGATTAGTGGCCGGTCTGTGGGAATCCTTTGCTTCCCCGTTCTTTCTCCTATAAAAGCATAGAAGCTCAAGAACCAAAGCAACTTTCAACTTCCATTCTGATCATGGCCAGCCCACGCGACGACGCTCCGGAAACTGCATTCGTCCCCTTCACCAACAGGGACGACCACAAACCCAACGTGACTGTCCAGAATAACGAGGGCGACTACAGGGACGAGCGCATTGCCTCTCCCTCCTTGGAGGATGCGACCTTCAACGCCATCCAGCACCTCGACATCTCGGTTGTCTATCAACCCATCATGGTGTCAGTAGGCACTGACCGCACTATGGTGGCTCTATTCATGGCGATCAACCAGACCAACCTGATAATCTTCCAACTGAACGAGCAAATAAGGATGCTCGAGAGGGAGCAGCCCTGGAAGCCATTATCCAGGGGAAGAACAAAACTCTCTGAGATTATATAGAGAGGTTCAACCGAGAAGCCGTCCAGGTGTTCACCATATACGATATGAAGAAATTCCTGATCTAGAGAGGCATACGACCTCACTCCGACTTTGCCAAGGCCGTCGGGATCGAACGTGTCCGCACCTTGAACGCCCTTCTCCACAAAGCCCAATCATACATCCAGTATGAGGAGATAGAGGCTGCCAACACTGCCTGCGACACGTGAAACCAGCAAGGCTTCAGGAGCACCAAGCATGAGGAGGCCACTCCTCCTCGTTGAAGCGGGGAAAGAAGAAGAGAAGACCGACCTCACGAGCAAAGGGGACCAGCGAGACGGTTCACTAAGTACACGCTGCTCATAGCTTCCTGCAAGCGCATCCTGTCTGAATGTATCAATTCAGAATTTCATAGGGGCGGTGTCCTTTTCCAAAACCGACACCATATAAGCTCAACATGGATAAATCCAAATACTCCCTATTTCACCTGAGTCATAGACACGTCACAGATGATTACATCCACCTCAAGTATGCAATAGAAATATTATTTAAAGAAGAGCACCTGAAGTAATACACCCGAAGAGGCGAGGTTCCCTGACTTGAGACCCGAGAGGCCAAGAAGGTCGAGGAAGTATCACCTCCCTCCGAAGAAGCGGTGCTACAGGTCGCCTTGTGTGTCTCTCTTCTAGAGGATTTCCTTCTTTTCAGTGAGCTCGCCAGACAGTTATCCGCCCATAGTCTATGGTAGGATTTCCCCGCTACTTTTGTCATATCCAACGGGGGGCCTAACAAGCTATCAGCCAGGTCAGTCAAGAGGAAGTTCGAGAAAATCATCAACAAGAGTTCAAAGACAAAAGCTACCCTCAATAAGTTCAAAGGTCAGTCAAACCCTATTAACTTTTACCTCAAGGAGCTTCCCGAGGGTGCACCAAACTCCAGCATCCCTCTCTTGATCAGGGCTCAGATGGCGAACTTCGAAGTGCACTGAATCCTAGTCGACCAGGGAAGTTTGATGGATATAATGTACGCCCATCTGTTTACGACCCATCCGGCTCGACGAAAGCCATCTGACCCCGTATGTCGGATCTGATCTACATGGCTTCAAAGATACCACCACCAAGCCTTAGGGATACGTGGAACTGCTCGTCACATTCGGGGCCGAGGAGACAGCCAAATAAGTGAAGGTATGTTTCTTGGTGATCAAATGCCCCTCAATGTATCAGTGCATCCCGAGAAGTCCGACCTTGGCTGAACTAACCGCGGTACCATCTACAGTCCACCTGAAGATGAAGTACTACATGACTAGAGGGCGGTTCGTTACCCTCCATGGGGACACTGAGGCGGCCAAGAGATGGTTCGAGGCGGCACTCAAAGGGCTCAACTCGATCAATGTCCCCCCTCCCTAAGTTGACCGGAAGGCCAACCCTGACTGAGGAGTAGAAGCCACCCCCTCCCCCTCCCCCCACGTCAATTTTGTCGACCTCGACAACCGCTTCCTCAGTAAGCAGGAGCAAAACACGAAATCTGAAGACGCGCCTCCAATAGACAACAGGCAGTTTTCCTACCCAACACGCCCCATTCCATATGGAGACTTCGAGCTCATCACGCTTGGAGACGATCCAGGAAGAAACATGAAGATTGGCACGGGACTCCCCGACCTGGCAAGGAAACAGCTTAAACCCTGCCTTCCGGAGAATGCTGACCTGTTCGCTTGGAGCGATACAGAGATGCCCGACCTTTGTAACACCCCCTTTTTTATACCCCTAAATAATCACATAATCATTTAGTCACATATTAAAAATTTCGTCAGAGTATAATTATAAACATAGTATAAAAGAGGCGCTTCACATTACGCTTGAAATTAGAATATATAACATCTGCTCAACAAAAGATATGTAATAGTGGGGTAACTTTGCAACAGAGGAACTTAGTCCTTACACCCACATCTCAAAATTTAGAATAAAAGCGGAAAATCTAAACATTGGTAACATCAAACATATATATATATATATATATATATATATATATATATATATATATATATATATATATATATATATATATATATATATATATATATATATATATATATATATATATATATCATCCAGTATGATTCAACAACATAAGTCATGTTTACATAAACATTCATCAACAAGATACATATACAAATGTATCACAAAAGAATCATGTACATCCTAGCTACCCGGTGTTACATATCAGAGCCGACCGGCCAAAAGAATGAAGACACGCTTCACAAAAAGACCACCAGCATACCTACTCTACAATGCCTCATAGAGCATCATAAAACAACAGAAGGGTGAGAAATATTATCATAATAACAATGCATATAATTATATATCTTAGCATAAAAATACACATATTCTACATTCTCACCACAATTCATCACAACTCACTCATATACATCACAATGTATATATATATATATATATATATATATATATATATATATATATATATATATATATATATATATATATATATATATATATATATATATATATATATATATATATATATAT